GAGAACGTGGAGTCATAACACATTGGCCATGTTCAAGGATGATAGGTATGGCCTTTCCTTGGTATCATTCCAGTATGGGCTATATTCTGCACCATCGACCCAGCTAACAGCCAAGAATGTACCTTTCATATGTGAGGTCTATGATCTAGTCATACATACCCACCTTGAGGTTTTTGGATCTTGCTGTACGGTTTGTGCTGACTGCAAAGGTCAACCGGTTTGGGGATTGCAACAGCGTGGAATGACGGACGGCCTACAACCTGTGGAGTATTTGTCAAAGTGTATGTCTTGAAAGAGAGTGGCAGAAAGCCACCTAAGAGTGGGCACTGTGTGCTCTGAACTATGCCCTATTCACGTGGTGTCATTATTTGCTAGGGCACCCCTTCAAGGTCTACTCACACCACTAGAAAACAAAATCAAAACCAGAGTTATGAGATAAACAGACAAGGTGGAAAGCAAAAGAAGGTAGAGTACAACTGTATTGGGGATGTGTTGTTGGGAAGATAAGACTTTACGGGTGTGATTTTGTTGAAACGGCCACAGCTTTTTTTGTTCATAGGCTTACGGATGTCCACACCGAAGATTTCTGGTACCATGCAGCCATTTCGTTTGACTGCCACTGCCTGGTCAGCAACGAGTTTGGATGCAGAATCAGATTGGTGGGCAGTGCTCAGCCAGCCATCCAGAGAGTGTGGGCATCCGGAGAGTGGTGCTCAGCCAGCAACGAGCTGTAGCGCACTTGGAATCATGAGCTCAGCCCAGCCATCCGGAGAGTGGTGGCCAGTGCTCAGCCCGCCATTCGGAGAGTTGTGGGCAGTCTCAGCTGGTGAACGGACTGTGTTGCAGGTCCTATGTCATCTTATCCGCCAGGACTGTGTGTGTGTGTGTGTGTGTGTGTGTGTGTGTGTGTGTGTGTGTGTGTGTCAGAGAGAGAGAGAGAGAGAGAGAGAGAGAGAGAGAGCTTTTGAGCTTGAACTTCTCGTCGTGGGAAAGGGGGGCGATTGATTGATGGATGGATGTGGCCAGGAGGAATCCAGGGACAGGATAAAGCGATTGATTGATGGATGGATGTGGCCAGGAGGAATCCAGGGACAGGATAAAGCGATTGATTGATGGATGGATGGTCGTGGGAAAGGGGGGCGATTGATTGTTTGATGGATTGATGGTTGAACTAAGACTTGAACAACTCTAATTCTGAAAAAAGGAAAAAAAGGAAAAGAATTGCTCTCGACTTGAACTGCTCTTATCTCTCTTATCTCTATAACACTAAAGCAATCAAAGGTTCCAGCGTCACGCTTGGTCGCGGGCCCAAGAGAAATCGCCTGGGACACAAAACCGAGGCGGGGCGATGCCAGGCCGGGCGAAGGGGCGGACCAAGTGCTTTTGGGGCGGGAACCGGGTAAGCAGGCCATAGCGGGGCAGGCGCGTACGCGGAGGCGAAGGTCCGGAGGGGCGAGGCGGAAATTCGAAGGCCGCGCGCGTGTGTGAAGAGTCGTTCGGGGCAGGGCGACGTGCCAGCGGGTGGGCGGGCGGG